CCGCCCCTTTTTGATTTCACGTTATCCGCGAGAACACGTTTCACATCGTTTTCTCCCCTCCCCCGTCCACCCGCCGACGAATCAGGGGCGAGCGAATCGCGGTGTGCTGCCAGTTGGATTTTAACGAGATATGGTTTTTTTCGTTTCTGTTTAGTACGACAGTTTGTGACCGGCGGCGGAGACAATTTGCCCGGTACGTAACTCACAAATCTCTTTTTTCTTTTTCCTCATTACGCGCCCTTCGGCTGAGAGAAAAAAAAAGAGAAAAAAAATTGACTTAATGAAGAGCAGCCGTTTTCCGAAGTGATGTGCGCGCGCCTCGTCCGCGACCTCGTTTTCCGCGCGCGATCTCATATCGTCGCGTAGCGCGCTGGGTACGCTTCGCCGGTGGTGGTTAATAAAACAGAAACGCAGAACTTACGAGCGCCGATTTCCTCCCGCCGGCGGGGGGTGTAATCGAGCGGAGTGGCGCGCGCGGAATCGAAAATCGATCTGACGCGTAGTACCGGCCGGGACGTCGTCGCCGCCCTCACCTTGGACGGAGTCCGCATGTGCGGATTATTGACGGCGACGGTTTTGTCAAAATTAATCTCGACTCGGAGGGAACGACGTTCCATCTCAACTGGAGTTTCGAGCGCCTCGTGGCAAATATTATCCGCTCGACTCGACGGAATTGTCGCGGGATCTCGGAAATTTTCCAAATTAAACGCACCGGGAATATCGGGAATGAACTAGCGAGCCGGCCGCGCCGCAAAATTCCAAGATCGCAACGAGGCCTCACGGCGATCGATACGAGGAGGAGACGAGGAGAAGATGGAGGATCAGAGATGCATCTCCAGCGAAATCGGACCTGGCGCGCGCATCATCCAGTGTTTCCCCCGAGCGCCACTTTTGTTTCTTTACGCTTTTTGTCATTCGTTATTGATTATGATTTGCCATTACGATCTCTCGATTCTACTGACATTTACGTACGTGTATACGCGATCGAATGTACTCGCTTTGTTTCTTTATCACTCTCTCTCTCTCTCTCTCTCTCTCTCTCCTTGTTTTATATATATATATATCTCTTTCACTCTTTCTCTTTTTCGTTTTCGTTTTTGTCTACCCGTTATCAGTCAATCGACAACGGACCGCGATGATATCCAATCTCCGCGAGATACATCTACGGGCAAAGTAGAGATTCGAAAGAAAGACAAAAAGACGTCCACTCGACAACGCGTTGTCGGTGTGTGTGTTAGTAAAGAAACGAATCTGCGCGCACCGAACCACTCGCTCTTCAGCGACTCTGCGATCATTTCTCTGCAGCGAGCTTAACGAAACACAAAAAAAAAACCTCCCTCGTCCCACGTGGACGCGGGAGCGTTCACGCAAAAGTCGTCACTTTTCCGCCGTATAACCGATGAATTCGCACCTGTGAATTCGCCGGCTGCGTCGCACCGATGCTGTCTGAATATACATGCGTATCAATAAGGAACACGCTTAATTGCAATTTACGCCGGCGATATTAGCGTACGGGATATCGGGTGTGCCAGCGGAGCGATAATTGACGTGCTCTGTTGTGTCAGGATAATTAAGTGGTCGCGCGAAAGTTAATTGAAAGCTCGTTAGCAGTTAGCCGCTCTCATTGCGTTATTCATCATTCATGATCGAGTGGAGAAACGTGTCAGAGTGTCTCTCATCGGGGAAACGAAAACCGTGGACAGGACAAGACGGGTCGAGAGACGGACAGGAGAAAGGAAAAAAGAACTCGAGTTCAACTTCGTTTCATCTCTCTCGCGGACCTCATTGTTTTCTCTCTCCACGATTTCTCGCTCACTCTCGCACAGCGCGAACCGGAAAAAAAGGAAAAGGAAACTCGCGAAGATCGATCGATCGATCGGCCGGCCGAGGCCGCGTATCGGCGGCGACAGTCTGAAGGAAAAAAGCGGAAAAGAAAGAAAGAAAACGAGAAAAACGCGCGCTGCGTCGCACGTTGAACGGCGGCCCCGCCGGCGCAACCCCGCAATAACGAGTGTGATCTTGTGTGTTTCGCCGATGTCGGCGCCTCGACAGGCCTGTCGAAGGGTGTCGGCTTCATAAGGTTCGACCAACGCGTCGAGGCTGAGCGGGCGATCCAGGAGCTGAACGGCACCATACCGAAGGGCTCGTCCGAGCCGATCACCGTCAAATTCGCCAACAATCCCAGCAACAACAACAAGGCGATACCGCCATTGGCCGCCTATCTCGCACCACAAGCAACTCGTCGTTTCGGCGGGCCGATCCACCATCCAACCGGCCGCTTCAGGTACATTCCACTGTCGCCACTATCCAGGTACCTACTCGCCTCTACTCGCTCTACCCAAAGGATTCTCTCTCTCTAAAACTTTCCTCTCTTTCTACTCTCTAACTTTTCTCTCGCTTTCTTCGCGTTTTTTTTTTATCTGTCCCCCTCTGTCTTTCTCTTTCTCCGTCCGCTTTTTCTTCTTCTTTTCCTTCTTTGCCTTCGGTAATTACTTTTGTTGAACTTGAAGCCATAAGATGCAGGCGGCTCGATCGCGTCACTGAGCGTGGTGCGACCGCGCCGCTCGTGCACCAGGCATGGCTTTTAAGTCGACTCGCGCTAGAGAGAGAGATGCCGTGCGATCAATTAACGCGATTATTAATACGAATATCGACGTTTGCGACGAATCGGTATGTCGCGTTCACGCTGTCTGAATTAAGCATCCCGTTGACCGCACGTTATTGTCTCTTCTTCCACTCTTGTTTTCTCTCTCTCTCTCTCTCTCTCTCTCTCTTTTCCTATTGATCGATTCTCTTGTGATTCTTTAGCTACGAACTGAGTTCTCTGTCGAGCTGTCTTCTTATCCGTGAATCTCTCCTTGTTCATCCATGTATCTATCCAACTGTCTGTTTATTTGATTATATATTTATCCGTTTAGTATCTATCTAATTCTCTTCTATCTATCTATCTGACTACTGTTTATCTTTCCTCCTTCTCTCTTTCTCTCTTTTTCTCTTTCTCGACACACACACATACACACACAGACACGTGCAAACATGAATACTCGATTAGATCGATCGATCACTCGTACACATATTTTTCCTCACTGTGACATATACCGGTTTCTTATTAGAACATAATATTTTTGCATATATCGCGCGCGAAAATGAATAATTCTATAGAGAAAACATACAGTAGAGTTGTAAAACACCACTTATAAATCTTCCACTTCGGGAATCTGTTGTTTAATTCGAAAAGTCGTTAATTTTTTTAACTAGATTTTTAGAACAATCGGACAGTGAAATCGAAGCAAGGCGTCACGCTGTAATAACGCCGTTTTTTCGTGACAAAATAATTAGAAGCGAGCGGTACACTCGTCGATCGGTCGATCAGTCGGTCTCAATCATCCTCTACATTCATCGTGCGAGTTATTCGGCACAGAACTCCTCCTTTGATATCAGCTATATAATATGCATCGAAAAGAAAAACACGTCTATCCTTCATCTTAAGTTGTGACTGTGCACGCTCTGTTACTTTCCGATAACGTTGCTCGAACTTTCGCGTTACCTTATTCTCGAAATTCTCGATATTAAAATATTTTTTACTCGGTCACACACGAGGAATGATCGGCGCGTGACATTTAAATGGAGAAACACATTTGCTACTGTTTTTTTCGAGATACAATCTATTTCTATTTCTATGGCATTTACTGCTGCGACCGTCGTTCGAGATACAAATACGCGTGCCACATTCGACCTCGCCAAGTTACTTATCTGTTATTACCCGAAGTAACTCGAGGAGAGAGAGAACGAATAAATGAAAAATGGACGAGGAGAAATTCGCGAGCCGAAGGAAAACATTTCAGAGCTGTAATCTGCGGGGAACCGGCGCGATAACTCCGTTTTAGATGAAAGGTCTTTCCGTCCTGCGATCGATACTTTTCCATTAAACTTGCATATTGACGAAACAGTCAAGGGCGATTCGATCGGACAGCTCCATGACCTTAACGAATAATGGATCCATTTTCGGTGTAACTTCACGCGGCACCGAGGAACGTCGCTTGGCCCTCCTTTATTATTTGCACTCACGGTTTGCCTTCCTCCAATCGCGATCGTGCGTATCGATATTTGATTTCTGCCCTCCCTCTCCCCTCCTTTGTCCTCTCCTTCAGGACCAACGATCAACGAATCTCTTGAGACGGATATGAAAACAATCTCAAGATACCTCTCTGTTCAATATTTAATTCGTATGAGACGTGCGGTACGGCGAAAGTGCGCGTTCGATCTCAGGGAGATCAAACTGATCCTTGGTCGTTCTCGAAATATGGAGGAGCAAGGAGCACACATACACATATACACACACACACACGACAGTCCCGCATTTCGATGCTCGTCGTCAAGCGTACGGTATCACTTGAACCGATTGGTGTGTGCGTGTGTGTGTGTGTGATATGTGTAGCGTAAAATTAACGTAGAACTGTTTCTCTCCCTCTCTCTCTTTCTCCCCTTTGATAATCGGGACACGCCTGACGACAAGTATACGTTTTAATAGAATCCCAAGGACTGTCGCGAAGACACTCACTCACATAGGCTCACATAGACTCATCTCTCTCTTTCATTCCGTGCCTCCCGTATAATATACGCATTAAGTCACGATGCTCGCTATCGACAGCGATCTAGTTACACGTACGATCCATGCACATATCCACACACACACATACATACATATATACACTGAACGATCTTCGCGAATTTCGCCGATACGAAAGGAGACGATATATACGCACTATACATCTTCATTAGTCGCACGTGTCAGGGTCCGTTTCTGTGTGCTCGAGAGGTCTGGAGAGATAAAAGCCGCCGAAAAAAGTCTCCGTGAGACTCGTCTCACTGACGTTCGATTGTTTGGTTCTTTCGACAAGTACAAAGCGTTAACCGAGTGTAGACGCGCTTTGCTACCGCTTTGTCTTTCATTATCCCCCTTTCTCCCTTACGGCAGAGTGGCGATGACAGTTGTTAAGCTGTCAGCGTTGAAGGACACCGTGTTCCTTTGTGCGACGAGCAGGACTCTAGATTTCCAGGCGAATCGAACGGTCGTTGCATTTTCACGCGTTGCATTGTAACATCTGCAAAAGTGTAAGTGCACAACTCGAGATTCCCCGTTCGAAATCGACCGTCTACGTAGCGTCTGAGGTCGGCAAAACGGTTGAAGTAACGTCGGATTTCACCTTCTTCTTCAATTTGTCAGCTTTCACGGTATATTTTCTTAATTTATAAGTATGATTTTGAAATATGAGTATCGATTTGTGATCGATTTGTTATATTGCTTCTTTGTTGCGTCTTTTACGGTCTTTCCGGTGATTGAAGATACAGTTAACGATCCCAGCAACGGTTATGCCACTGCCGCGACGATAATCCCATTTTGCTTCCCTTCACGATAAGGAATCGAAGTAGCCGGCGCCATAAAGACGAATCCCGCCTCGATATCGTTCGCTTTACATGTAAAATTGTTCTTCGGATCGTTATCTTCGCGTATCTTCGTGATATTTCTTGTTTAACTTTCCGATAACGCATACGGTATAGCATCTGTGTGGCGATCATGTAATTTTTCCCCAGGAGCGGAAAAGTGAACCCTACGCTTTTGGTAATCATGAAATTTTTCGAATTACGGAAATGTGGAATTCTTTATATTTTCGCTCCTACGGAAAAGTTACATGATCGTTACCCCGGATCTACGCTGCGATCGTTAACAAGCAACAATCGGGAAAAACGGAGCGCGCTCAGTCGAAACGTAATCACGAACCGCTTCGCTCCTCCGAATCTCGCATTGCATCCCCCATTATCTCCTTTACGGGATAAATACGCACCGCTACGTAGAGGGTAGAAAACCGGAAATACAATGATTGGCACAGGAAAGCGCCCGACTTATCCCGACTTTGGCTCGATCCCGGAGTATCTCTCTTCTTACGTTGTTCTTTTTGTGTTTTGTTTTAGCACTGGCAAGGCCATGCTTGCCATTAACAAAGGCTTACAGAGGTCAGTATTTTTTTCGTTACTACCACTACGTTTCCTCCTGATTTCCGTTTATTTATTCCGTTGTGTGGCTTCGTTCTCGCTCTTTCTCTCTCACTTTCACTCTCATTTTTCATTATCTCTCTCTCTCTCTCTCTCTCCATCTCTCTCTCTCTCTTTCTCTCTCTCTCTATCTATCTATCTATCTATCTATCTATATGTTTCTCTCCCTTCTTCGACTCGTTACGAATTCGATACCTAAGTATCGCGTAATAATTTATTGTCGTTGAAACAAACGCGACAGAGAAGAGATTGCTCATAATATGTATCGTTCATAATTGTTGTCTCGATCTTGTTTTGAGTCGTCTTTTGCGTTTCTCGCGCGATCGTTTGTTCTCCGTGACGTAAGAGATTCGTTGCTGATTTATTCCAGGCAGTCATAATTTCGTAACGGGGCCCCGTTTTGTCATCACACTTGCATTCTTCACGCCTTTTCGCTTCGACTTTGGTTCAATTCAGTTATGCAGACACACAGTGGTAGATATTATCGATGTCACGTATTATTGGGTTTACGCAAAACAAGCCTCCTTGGTTCTCCGTTCTATCACTTGTTTATACATAGCGCAATTTGCAATCCGCTCTTCTTTTAACAACGATTAAACTGCGACGACACACTTTGCAGCGGCAACGGCTTATAAAATACTTTAGAGTTTTTCCGTCGTTCGTACGTATTGCGTGACCGCAGAAACAGCTTTTGTTCGCGACGGTACATATATATATATAGTGATAAACGGGTGGGATTGACAACCCCCGAGCGAAATGTGCAGCGAGAAAATGTTTTTACACGATTATATTATCGCGGTTATCGATATTTTGTTGGAATTTTTTGCGTCATTGAAATGTTAAAGATTAAAACATCACCATGTAACTTGCTCGAGAAACTCTTATCTCTCTGCGCGTACACTTGATCCTGAAGTCTCTGCCGACAAAGATCCTCCATCCATCATTTACTCGCGATTTCTGTGTAAAATATTTATGCCTTTTCTTTTCACGCGAAAAAAAAGTTTGAAATAAACGAAAGAACCGGCGATATTTCACCTCCCTCCCCGGAAGTGTACGTCTCCCTTGAATCCTCGTGTACATACGAAGAGTCATCCGGATGCAGACACTCGTACAAGTATACATGTGTGTACATAACGCTTAATGAACAGCGAGATAGACTCGCGCGCAAGCAACGTGATGTTACCCTCCCCCTCATTTCCCCATCCTTACGGCTCCATCATTTCTTCTTTTCTCTTTTTTTTCTCACCCCCCTTCACACCGAAACACACAATACACAAAGCCGCACAATTTACGCACACATACACACACATGCGCGCGCGCGCGCGGAATTAATTAGACGCGTGCACGCGGTCCTACAGACACCCGATGCACACGTCTCTGCGCGCACACACATCCACGAGTTACACGGAGACATATTCCACACACATACACACATATACACGTTTACTTCGCGGTAATACGGAACAACGTTCGTGACGAATGCATACGTAATTACTGTGGCCTCGGCATTATACTGAGTACTCACCGAGATGTGCCCTGTTTTAACGCGGCTTGTGACGTCAAGTAGGTACGTAGAGATATTTTTACAACTGTAAATACCCCCCCCCCCCCCCCCNCCTTCCTCCCTCACTCAGGTACCGTTGTACGGGACGTGTACCGCATTATAACTCTCCCATCTTTCTCGCAAATTCTCGCTTGTCGGTTCTGAAACGGTAAATGTGTCCGATCAATTAACATTAACGGTCGATATCACGCTTCGTGATTTTTGGCGAAAGAAGCGTCACATCCAAGGAGACGGCTTGTGTTTTTCGAGAAACACGTTCTCTGTACCTATGTGTGTGATCTTCGTCTTGTTGTGCATGCGAATGTGTGTGTGTGTGTGTGTGTGTGAATGCGAAGTAACAAACGATATTATATACCGTCACATCTTTGTTCTTCTCCCGATAGACATTACGTTTGGATTGATAGACGCTTTACCGATGGAAACGCATGTGAAATTTGCGTTGTAAGAGTAAAAGAGCAAGTTTTTCTTGCGTTTGTTCGGTTAACGCGATGTACTTGTAAATCTTTATCTCGCTGTCCGCTGAAAACGACTTGCATTCTCGTGCGTTACTTGATGTTTCATTTTTTCGTCCTTCTTCATTGTACAATTCGCTTGTGTACTGTTGATGTTCCCATTACCTACTATTTCATATATAGCGAAATTTGCAATATTGGTGAATAAAGATTTGCGTACGATTGTTTAGTGTCGTTTTTTCCTCGTTACTTACAGGTTGCGTTAAAAAGGAGTAACCGGAACTTTATCGTGAGAACAGCGTGGTGAAACGCAACTTTTTAACGCAACCTGTAAATTCGGATTGTTAAGATAAATCGAATTTTCTCGTATTGTATGTGTATGCGTCGATGTTAAAAAGATACGTATTTTCCTATAGAACGACAATATGATAACATGAGGTCGTGGCTTTTTTTTTCTCTAATTTTATCCTTTGCACTGAAAACCCGTTTACGTTTAGCTAGCAAATTCGCCGTGTTGAGCGCACGAGCGAAGTTGACACTCGTGTTGTACTTTGTATATGTGTCTACCGCATGTGCTTTTCCTCAGCGTACATTTTGGATGCATGGAAGAAATCTGCACGCCAATCTGTCGTTATATCACTTGTATTACCACTCCGTCACCCCGTATGTCATAGTGCATTGAGTTGACACGGTACAAAAGTACCAGTTCTCTTGCGTAGTCTTTACATGTTACCGCACATTTTCGCCACGGTGTCGTCGTCGTGTATAAGTGTCTGCGAGATCACGTGTCAATCTATGTGAATAAGGAGATCCGACGTTTTGACAGTTCCCACGCGAAATAAATATTCACATTCGATATCTGTGTATGTGTATTCGCATCACTATATAACACGTTCAATCTCATTGGGATTGCGATATACTGTGCGAGTAGCGTATATAACGTAAAAAAAAAACCCTTATTTAGATGTACTCTCTCTCCACTCAGAAAGGCGGAATAGTTCCAGCAGGTATAATTATAGCCCGAACGGTGCTCAAACGTTCTATCCGTGACGAGACGCGAGAACGATAATAAGATATATAAAATAAGAGCGGTGACACGGAGTATTTATAAAACTCACCGTTACTATTTAGAATGTGCCTCTTGTTGTCACGCGTTCTTCGAAAATCGCAAACGTTCGCACAGAGCGGGACACAAGTAAAGAGAAATTCCGAGAACGAGCGCGCGAATTACCGCGCGCGCAATATGTTCCGCCGAGTTCCGGAAATGAAAGAATCAAGTCGGGAAAATCGGAAGCTACGAAAGTACGCGCCGCACGAAAGACGTCTCTCGCGAATGCCGACTCCCGACGGTCGTTTCAGCATCGTTCGCATCCTCCGGTGCGCGCGGTGAGTCCGCCGCCGCCACCACCTCCTCCTCTTCCACACCTGCCCCGCTGTTGAACGCGACGATGTCCGTTTAATGACCGGTGCGGCATCGTGTTCCAGGTACAGTCCGTTGGCGGGTGACCTCCTCGCGAATTCCATGCTACCCGGTAACACGATGAACGGCGCCGGCTGGTGCATCTTCGTGTATAACCTCGCGCCCGAGACCGAGGAGAACGTGCTGTGGCAGCTGTTCGGGCCCTTCGGCGCCGTCCAGTCGGTCAAGGTCATACGCGACCTACAGACGAACAAGTGCAAGGGCTTCGGCTTCGTGACGATGACCAACTACGAGGAGGCGGTGGTGGCCATACAGAGCCTGAACGGCTACACCTTGGGCAACCGTGTGCTCCAGGTCAGCTTCAAGACGAACAAGAGCAAGACGGCGTAGGACGAGCAACAGGCGGCAGCGGCGGCGGTAGCTGCGGCCGCGGCCGTGGCGGCGGACGCGGCGGCGGTAGCGGCGCCTTATCATCATCGTCGTCATCGGCTGCTACGTACCGCGGTGGTGCAGCTACCGGTGCCGATGCCGGGTCACTTCTACAACAAGAGGGGACCCGGCCAGATGCCGGGCGCGAGCCCCGGTTCCAACATCAGCGGCAGTCATCACGGAGGCGGTAATGGCATTTTCCACGGTGCCAAGGGCCAGCGGCAGCCGTTCCTCCAGCGCCTACCGTCGCGCATACACGATCTCACTCGGGCGATCGAGATGGCCGTCTCGGGAGCGGCGAACCCGGTGCAGCAGCAGCAGCAGCGTCAGCACGCGCAAGCCAAGCAGCAGACCTCCCTCAAGAACAAGCCCAACAACAACCGTCAGGCCGGCGGCAAGAAGCTCCAGCAGAGCGAGAAAGCGTAGTTGCGAGGAGTGAGTGTGTTTATGTATGTTGTGTGTGTGTGTGTGTGTGTGTGTGTGCATGAGAGAAAGAAAAATGAGAGGACAAAATGAAACGTATGAATGTGAGTGCGTGCGTGTGAATGAGAGAGAAAGAGAGAAAGGAAAAATTGAAAACTGAATAAACGCGGAGGGTAATAACGAGAAAAGCCGCGTGCGAGAAAGAGAGAGAGAGAGATAAACCCGGGTTAATGAGAAGATGGTAGGCGTCGAATCGTTCGACTGTGTCCGATAACGTTAATCGCAGTACTGAAGCTGAGCCGACTATACGCGTGCTGAAAGCTCAAATTTCCCTCGACGGGGGGGGGGGACAAACATGCGCGGAAAGGTACGACATTATTAAATGCGCGCGCGAGTCCGTCGCGTCGTCCTCTCTTTCTCCTTCCGTACCTCCGCCGGCGCTCGCCGCCTCGCGCGTTTCCGTCCTCGCGTTCGACCGCGGTCGAGGACGCGACGTGGTGACACGGCGGGAGGACGAGACACCGTCGGCATTCTCCCGTTGACGCGCGTTGACAGAGAGTGGAACGGACGATGATCGAGTCCGTGACGACGGAGGAGGATCGCGAACGAATGTCGCCGGGAAAGTCTCGTTTCCCGCCGCTCTTCCGGACGTCGTCATCGACGCGCGAGGACGATTCGAAGACACGAGGACTCGGCGGAAGATCGGCGACGAGGGCACGATGGGAGACAGGCAGGGAGACAGCAGGGGCTCGCGCTTCTTTAGGACTTACGCGGCTCGCGCACAGTGACCGATCGCGGGTCCTGTACATACATATTACCGATTTATATGTATATGTACGTGGGGACGCTCGTGGGCCACGTGATGCCCGTTCGTGCGAACGTTTCCCGCAGGATCGGAACGGCAGGATTGGGAGAGCTCGAAGGGCTTAGGTGACGGGGCGACGGCGAACATGCCGACAGCAGGGAGCGAGCACATATATAGAGGGGAAGGAGGGGGGGGGGACGGATTTTCCTCCGTAGGTTGACGACGATGTGTTGTGGCGTCGAGAGCCTCCGCCGGCACTTTCGGCCGATCTTCTTTTTTTTTTCTACTTAACGTACATCCATGAGACCGGGTTAGTCACGACGATATCGGGCTGTGAGACTGAATCACACGTATATATATATACACACACACACACATACACACATATAATACGACACATGCGTACGAACACGTGCATACCGGTACACGTACTTACATACATGAACACACATATACGTATATACATACACGTGCATACACACACTCATAAATGCACGTACAACTAGAAGAACGATCAACAAAATGCGCGGCGTTGAGAACGGCGGGCTGTCGTGGATGAATAATAATGTGTTGCATCGGGCCTCTCGAGACGACGCGCTGTACGCGAGAACTCGTCGCGGGAACACGTGGATCACGTGACAGAGAGCACCCTCGCGCTTCCTGGTCCGCGAGCGAGATGAGTGAGAAAGGGTGAAAGAGCGGGTGGGAGAGAGTGAAAGAGAGAGAGAGAAAGAGAGGGGGGGGGGTGAGAGGAAGACGGAGAGGGGAAGTATTAAAAAGAAATGCAAACTCAGAAAAACACACACACACAGTGCTTAGTAGTAGGTGGTTATACATACTCGTTTTATGCATAAGTTTTAGAGAGTATTAGCGTCGTGTGTATGAGAACGAGAGAAAGGGAGAGACAGAGGCGGAAGAGGAACGGGAGAATGCGATGAGGGTATTCAAGTGTGAAGAAAGCGAGAAAGAGAGGGAGAGAGAGAGAGAGAGAGTGTGTGTGTGAGGAAGAGACGAAGAAACGTATTTCGCCGATACACTAGGAACGGAATTGGGAGGGGGGGGGGACGTTTTGACACATACCAAAGGTATTATTAATTAATTAAACGCAGAATTCATCGCGATGAACGTCGCGACCGAGCTATAAAGTTACGAATGGGCCGGATGTTGCGCGATAATGACACGCGGAGTCGAAACGTCGCGAGGGAGAAAGAGAAGAATGGGAGCCAAAGAGAAGGAGAGTATCCGGGAGCAGGGCTCGCACATACGATTTTTCGAAGGCGCGACCACGAGGAGAAAGGGAGAACGGACTTTCACGGTGCGCGAACACGCGGGGTGTACTTGACGTAACCTACTAGTTGGAATTAAGATGCTGCCGTTCGAGCACGGGCATCCGGAGGCACACGTGTATTTGTTCTCGGAGGAGAGGCTCCGCGGGCGGCGCAGGACAGTAGAGAATCTCGAGCGGATCGATACACACACGGAGAGAGAAAGCGACACGAGAACCCGGAGACCCCTCGAGGGAGTCGTGTCGCGATACGGCATGAGATAAAATCAACAAAAAAAAGAAGAGAAGAGCAAAAAAGAGAAGAAATTTATTAAAGCGTTATTGTATTATGTTATTATAGTTCGCGCGCTAGACGACGCCGCTATTGGCAGCTTTCAGCCTCGGATACACGCTCGATCGTCGTCGCTGATCCAGAGATGCTCGTCGCCATCGCCGGTATCATCTAGTGTGTGCGCGTACGCGACGATGCGCGTTGACGTGGCTGTTCCTTGCCCTCTTTTTTTTCTTCTTCTTTTTCTTCTTCTCCTTTTTTTCCCCCTTCACTTTTCTCGACGTAAGTACTTAGGTGTGTGGTCGAAGGGAGAAAAGAGAACGCGCTTTTTCTGGCAAAGACGGACCAGCCCGACTCTCGACAGTTTTCCCCCTCTCCCCGCGAAGGCGCGCATCCGGGAGAATATTTTACGGTTACGATTACGCGGCTTTTTCACGGCCTTTTCTTCTACGATGGATTTCGTGACGAGCAAGAGAGAGAGAGAGAGAGAGAGAGACACTGAAGGGATCAAAAGTGCGGATTCTCGTCCGATAGAAATCCGGTGGAGCGCCTCCTCGTTCTTCTCGAGCGCGCGAGGGCGAATTTCGGACGAATCAACGGCGCGCGATTAATCGCGAGAGACTTCATCATGTTTGGTTTTCACGCTCTTCATCGTTGATCGATATATATTGCACGTTTTTCCGCGAGACGCTTTCGAGGAGAGTATATGTTGTCCAAAAATGTCGATATACGGGGGTAGGGGAGAGGAGACGCGGAACGATCTTCGTGTTGTCCTGTGCGAAAACGGAAGAGGGGGAGGGGGGGGACACACGCTCTCTTTCCTGCGTCGTAGAGCGGACGTAGTGATCGATGATCACGGAAGACGCGCACACATTTCGCTAACTTTGTTCGCTTTCCTCTTCAGAGCCGGGGGGAGCCCCGGAAGGGTGGCGAGATTCTCGCGTTCCTGCCGCATGTACTTCGGTGGACGGTGTGCACGGTGTAATGTGATACAGATTTAATAGAACTAATTCAACGTTCGATCTCAAGTCAGGTTTAAGGAATCACGCAATCTAGTCTTACGTGCAACCCCCACGCAACATGCCACATGGCGCCGACCATTGTCGGCGCGACTACGCGCTATCCTCGTGTAAACTTCACCGCCCCTTGAGAGAGAGAGAACAAAAGGAAATTGAGAGAAAAAGATACCGCCGGGATAACGAGCCGATACGAGGGGAGGGGGGAGTAGACACATGTATCACGAGGAATGCGGCTAAGAGGAACTACGCAAAATCCTTGGCGATCCGCGTCTTTCTCTCTCTCACACCGACTCGCGAGCGATCTCTCTGTCGCACCTTTCCAAAGAACAACGAAGCAACTATGGCGAATCGATCGGCGTCACTTCTCCCGAAGTGAGCCTCAACCGTGGCCGAGGGCACGTCGTTGGTAGTCTCGGGAGATCGACGGACGGTGGAGGCGAGTGTGAGAGAGAAAGAGAAGGAACGGATCGGCGCGGAGTACTTAATTAGCGAGTGAGGCGACACTCGATTAAGGGTAGCTTTAGTCAAGGAAACCAAAAAAGGATTACGTATGTGTCATACATATATATTTATATATATATAGTGTACCTATTTGTATCTAGTCCGGGGAATTCGGGGAGAGTGGCGAGGACGAAGCTCTTTATGTCTCTCGCTCGAGTTTCCGTCCCGCGCGACTCTCAGCGTGTATCTCCCAGTGCCGCGTTTTTCTTTTCCCTTTTTTTTTTCTTTTATTGCTCCGTATATATCGAGCAATAGTTTTCGGAGCCGCTGGAGGCTCCCCCGCCGATCGCCCGCCCCGAGGGAGACGCGTGGGGTCAACGTGGCGAGACTCTGATAAAACACTAATAGCAGCGTAAGTTGACGCGCCGGCGAGCGTGTTCGTTAAGAGACGTCGTCGCGCGAGTACGATAAAAATGAGTGATAAAAGAATTGCAAGCTGATCGCGCTCGCTGATCGGAGGATTTTGCGCGGCAACGACGATCGGCCTTCTCTCCCGTGTGCCAGTTAAGAAGCGCTCAAACGCAGTTACGTTTTCCCGCGCTTTCAGCGCGTATATCGCCCCCGAGTACCCAGTGTCTTGTACACTCGAGTCAAATTGCTGAAGAGAATTGGCTACCGCAGGTAAAAACTAGCTGTCCGTGTGCGACGGTAAACAACTCGGTTCAGTTATCAGAACTGGTTTTTAACTGTGGGAGCTCAAATTCTTGTGACTATAGTCGTACACAGCTACGACTGTAGTCGTACGCGAGAAATAAAAAGAATTGGTTCCCAAAGGCTAGCTAGATCTGGTATACGATATTTCGAAGTTGTATTATTATGGGCAGCTTTTAGCAATGGGAGCCATTTCTTTTTTCCCGTGTAATTTGTTATGTGGTACTTGCACTGCGAAAATGGCTGCAATGGCGCCGTCCGACGGGTGATCAAACGATGGACACACACACACAAACACACATATCTCATGCTGTGTATGTGTGTGTGTGTGTGTGTGTGTGAAGAAAAGAGGAAGGAAGGAGGGGAGATGACTTTTTCGCGGTATTTGCGTTGCAAGTGTCACGTGGGGAGATGGACAGATCGGATCTCGACAGCATCCTCCAAACATCAGCGAGCCGTTATATCCGTTTTTCCTCCCCACACATACACACACATACATACACATACACACATACATACAGCGTTTGTCTCGCGTTTATTATGTGCAGTTACATTTGCCATTATGACAATGATTCTTCTCCTTCTCGCTATTATTATCGTACGATTATACTTATTATTGTGGTTACTATTATTATTGCCATCGTCATCGTCATTATTATTATTATTATTATTATTATTATAATTATTATTATTACTTATGATCGTGTATATTTTCTGTGTTTCTCGTCTTGATAGCTACGTGTAACCCTCTAACGCCTCATTATTGCCTACTCTCTCGTGAAGCCAGAGGAGGATTAAAAGGGAAGAAAAAAAGAAGAAAGATACTTTACCGCTCTCACTTCATTTGCTCACTTTAACACATCATCGCTCTACTTGTCGCCACTTTCTACCACCCGCTTTATAACTACTGTTACTACTTATACCGCTATCGCTGTTACCACCATTACTACTACTACTACTATAACTACTACTACTACCGCCGACTATTTATTTATTTATTTAATTAATTATTAAATAACATAATTATTATGTTTTATTTAAGGATTAAACTGATTTGTGTTTGGTTCAAACGTCGTTCGTTTTATTTCTTATTAAAATGTTTCAGTTGCCACACCAGATCCTGTCCTCCCCGTTATCGCCGATCCGTCCCTCCAGCACCCCCCCCCCTCTTCTCACTGATTACGTCCGACATTCCATGATCTCCTCCTGACATTCCACGAGTCACAGACTGATGTAGTAGTATCGATGTGTAATGTTACGGCGAGCCGCTGCGACCTCGATGCACGAGACACGCTCCTGAATCCTGGTTCGTAGCGTCTTTATTACTAGCGTGTTATTAATTAGTACATAGTCAGGGGCGCCGACGAGTTGGGCAAATCGCTCATTAAACTCGTCGCGTGACTCTTTACAGGGCATGCCAGAAAATACAGTGTCCAGACTGCTGCAAATAGTTAAGTAGCATACAAACGTTTTAACGAACTTAAATGCTATTTATCGTGCGTTTGCATTATTGTCACTTTTGCTACGTTAGACACGTCTGTTAGGGTTAGAAAGGTAGATGCTACGTTTACGAAATCGCTGATATATACACATATATATGTATATATATATACACAGAAAAAAGTGCTGTACAAATTTACACTGCGTATATATAATTGATATTATGAGACCGTGTCGGCCATAGCACAGTTATTGATGTTAGATGTAAAATTTTTTCCGGAATGAAGCGACATTCACGGAAAGAGATTCTTAGCCCGAGATTCACGAATAGCGGTTCGCAGGAATCTCTCTACGCGCGATTCGAATCTGCGAGCTTTTATGTTAGCCCTTAAGCATTTCATTTAACCGGAGCACACTCGTTCCCGGAGAGAGAGACTCCGATCGGCGAAATTAAAACTCGTTACTCTCCGTTACGTCACAATGGAGTAACGCGATATCGATCCCTTTCGCGAAGATGGTAATCTCGTCGGAAAGATACGACGGCAGTCATCGAATTACCATTCCACCGTTCTTCCGGCTCGAACGGTCCTGAAGAGGAGCACCACGTCGGGTTAGCGCGAAAGATCATCGTCGAGAGACACGATGTCGATCGAAAACGAGCGAGTGATTCTCTCGATCTCCGCGACGAAGGGCGAGAGAGCGTGCAACTTGGTGCTTTCGGTGAGTCCGGATTCGAGATTTCGAAGGCTCCTCGACTCGCGAAGTCCGACAGGGGTCTTTCCGGATTCTCGTGATCGGAAAAGAACGACGGTCTCGGCCGATTGTCCTAAAAGAAATTGATGTACACGACGAGAGCGGAGAGAAGGGTGATCGGAACGAAGAGTGGTGTGAGCCCTTCAGGATGCTCTTCCGCTCTTTAAGACGTCGACTCGCTCGCAACGACTCGCCCGACATGTCGGGCCGAGTGAACGAAGGGCAATGGGACGAAGGAAGGCGCGTTCGGGGGAAAAAGAGAGAGAGAGAGAGAGAGAGAGAGAGAGAGAGAGAAAGTGAGAGTGAAAGAGAAAATGTGTGTGAGAGAAAGAGAGAGAGAGAGAGGTATGAAAGCGAGAGAAAGAGAGGGAGAGAATGGAAGAAGGGGCAAATGTGAGCACGCTAATCTACTTAAATAATAATATTACATACGATTATTACGTTAGATATACATTATGTGTATTGTATTTATGTCTCAATAATCGTTGTTAGTTATATCGCTATGATGAGATGAAGATGATAATGAGTATGATATTACCGATGACTTCAGAGAAGGGGAAGGGACACACATACACATACGAGAGACACACGCGGAATCCGAGACACGCATATAAACAGTACGTAATACTATTCGAACACGCAGCGCGGCGACGCGGGATTCGCCCGTACGAGCGCGAAAGGAGAGCGTCGTCCTCGCGGACGCGGTTCACGGCGGGCTCTTTCAATATCGGGTCGATTACTCCAGATCGCTTTCCCGGCGACACGCGTCAGTGTGTATTCTCGCAAATGTTCTCACTCCTCGCGAGCGCGGAAGGGGAGCTTCGCTCGAGTTAACTGTACAGTCCCAGTGAAATTTTTAATTCAGTCGGTCAAGTCTCTACGCACAGGATCCTTCGGAGTTCTGTTCTCGCGCGAGAACGCGACAACGAAGGGATATCATGATGATGTGACGACGTGCCGGCGTGTCGCAATACGGCTCGCCGGAATCGCCGACGCGCGCCCGACGCTGTTTATCCCGCGAGCTCGCGCCGGCGCTCTCGCGGAACGTGGACTTTCCCGACGACAGGATAGATGAGGAAAAAAAAAGGGCATCCTGTTATATCTCCGAAGAGACGAGAGGCTCGAAGTAGATCGGTACATTCGCGGTTTCTAACTGATTTCTGCGATGGACGAACGATATTACATTTATTAAACGATTTACATTTAACCATTAGTCGCATTATCGATATTATTGTACTACTAACTAGCGCTCGTACCCTCTTATACTCGTAAAAAAAAAAAAGAAAAAGAAGATGATGATGAGGAGAGAGGGATAGGAATAAAAACAGAGGACGGGGGAAGGGGAGGGCTTTAGAGATTGAGAACGGAGAGAACGGTGGAGAGTGAAAGAGAGAGAGAGAGAGAGAGAGATATGCGTGCATGGCAATGCGAACGCGACGATCTGTCGGATGATGATGATCGGCACGCGATGGTGGGATTGACTGTTGTTGCAGGAAGGGTCGCGAGACAACGTTAATTAACTGGGACGTTCTCGCGACATCGCGCTCGCGTGTGAAAGCTATTACGGTAAAAGTTGATGGAGCGTAACACGCGCCGGGGTCTCACTCTCGACCGTCGAGATCGTCATCGTCGGCGTGTCGTCGTCGCGATTTTCGTCTCGGCTGCGACGCGACGTCGACGTGACCCCGGCGTGACCTCATTGAAGCGCGATGTCGCGCGAGCGCGCCCCGCTGTTCGTCCGTCGGCGAAGTAGCCGGATTTGCTGTCGTCGACGGGGGATTCCCGAGGATCGCGCGAACGAGGAGTCGGGTCCTCGGGACGCGCTTGAAGAAACGGGTCCTTTTTCGGGAGTAAATCGCGCGGGATTGTTCGCGGAGGGAACGGTATTTCTCGGCAGAGAGAGAGAGAGAGAGAGACGCGGTGTGAGGATGAGAGGGACCTCCTCTCGCAGGCCGGATGGGAAGCGAACCGATGATCGGGCGAACGAGAGCCGTTCGAATTTAATCCCGTTTTCTCTCGCCAGCAGCGACGACGACGACGACGTTTCGTCGAGTCGTTCGCGGAGACCCGTCGTGTCGCTTGGCGCATCAACGAGAATAGAGACGCGAAGCCCCTCATAACGATAGGAAATCCCATCTTGATCTTCGTTTCAAGGCGCGCTGGGGGTGCCAGCGACGTTGTTTGTTTGATAAGGATAAATCGAAATTCCCTTGGTTCTCGTTACGTTGTTACGGCTGATTGATTATTTCGGTAAAGAAAATCGACAGAACATCCGGGATCGCGAAGGAATTTCTCCCGTTTGAAACTTACCGGGGAAACTCCGCCGTAAGAGCGGGGGGAATAGTCAGGCGATTATTTAATTGAACTCGCGCGAACACGCGTGCTAGATCTCTCTCGATATCCGTTGTTGATCTTTCGTGATGTTTTCAATTCGGTGGTTATCGGCGTCTTACGCCTTTACTACTTTTGTGCAATATAAACGGAGCTTCGGTCGGTCGGACGAGGGGTGGCCGCCGACCACGGGGAAATCAAAAAAGTGGTGCTGTAGTCAAGAAAAAAAAAAGAAAAAACTTATTCCTCCCCGCGGAACGGCGCCTCGCCGGATGCCGATCGTACGAACCGACTTGAACCAAAAGTGAAAAGGAACGGGGGAGGGAGGGGGGAGGGAGAGAGAAACGGAGCTTGTACTATTATTGTATTCGTCGCGAGGCTGTGGCGCACCTGCCGTGTGGGGCGCGACGACGAAACTTGCTAAGGCCGAGAGAGACTCGCAATTGCAAATTGATTTCGCGACCATGTCGAGCGCAAAATCTCGTTGCGATCGTCGATGAAAAATCTGGTCGTTCGGGGCTTGGGGGAGGGGGGATATTT